GAGAGGCTGAGGGAGCTGGGGTTATTTAGCCTGGAGGAGGCTCAGGGGAGACCTCATCACTCTACAAGTACCTGAAAGGAGGTTGTAGCCAGGTGGGTGTCTGTCTCTTCTCCCAGGCAACTATCAGTAAGACAAGAGGGCATGGTCTTAAGCTGTGTCAGGGGAGGTTTAGGTTGTATATTAGGAAGAAATTTTTTACAGAGAGAGTAACCAGACATTGGAATGGGCTGCCCAGGGAGGTGGTGAATTCTCCGTCCCTGGAGGTTTTTTAGATGAGACTGGATGTGGCACTTAGTGCCATGGTCTAGTAACTGTGGTGGTGTTGGATCAAGGGTTGGACTTGATGATCTCAGAGGTCTTTTCCAATGCAGCTGATTCTATGATTCTATGATTTCCTCCACTGGTATGCCTTAATAATAGATATAAATATATAATTTTTTAAATTTATAAATTTGTGCTATGTATGTTATAGACAATACATTTTACACGGTGATATCTGTGATAAGGTAAATCACATACACAGTATTTGCTGTACTACATAGTACATGCTGCGTGCTGTGTAAAACAGTGCTACATACAATACAAATTGATGTATGCTGTACTTACAAATAAATTTTGATTTATTATACTGCATATATTAACATCTATATAACTTAGTGCATGTTAATGATTACATTGACATATACATTTTCTCTATATACATATGTGCCTTGTAACTTCTTTCAGTACTTCTTTTCAGAACACCCTCTTTAGGAAAGGTGTATGCATCTTAATTTCCTTACTGTTGCAGTTTTGTATTTTCTAGTCCCGGGCAGAGTCTGAACATAAGCTGGATGCACTTATAACTATGTTATTCTAGCCTACAGACTACATTAAGTTCAGATACAGCTTAGTGCCTGCAACTGCTTAAGGTCTTAAAAATTACCATTAGCCCTCAGACTAGAAGTTGGTGTATGAATTTATTTTTTATTCTGACTTTGATTGCAGTGACATCAGGTTTTTAAAGTGAATACAGTCCTCTGTGAGTGCCTGTAGAATGAGGGCTCTGAAGTAATTTGATTCCCTGTTGCAGACTGAAAAAAACCCCTGTTGTCATTCTGCATCTTTCCAGTGTTGGTGCACCTTTGCAGTAGGAAACCCGTTATTCAAAGTAAAAATGTTCATAGCTACCCTCTTAGGGTAAGAATTAAAAATGTTTGAGTGATAGCAATTAATCATTTCTGAGTGAATTTCTCAGAAGGTTCGGAGCTGGTACATGTGTATATGTGTCTCTGTAGGGGAGTGTGGCATTATGTATTTTTCAGTGAAATAATTGTAAAGAAGAAATAAAACCACTTATCATATACACGTGTGTGTATGAAAAGAGTCACACATCTAGTTATTCATTTTGTCCATTCAATAGTGTGATAGATTTCTGTGAGGTTGCATGTTAAACACTCTCTTGTTTTGGTTGATAACAGCTTGAGGTCTTTTTAGTGATATTAACATAAAAGATTTGTAAGTATTAGTTTTCACTAGAGAAAAAAAATAATACTGCAAGCATTGAATATGTGATGGTATTTTCTGTAAGTCTATCCACTTATTGTTTGGGTAAGTCCTCTACTAGAATAGTCCATTTTCCCCACATGCCACTCAGTTGAAACAAGAATTTTACAGATCATCCACTGAGCTGAGGTTCCTCTGCTACATCACAGGTTATGTCTTCTTGTTACAGAGTTTGAATCTAAAGGGTGCATGTTTATGATTGTGTGTTGTTCTGGTCTGCACAGGATTACATTCTGATTACGTTCTGGTTTTTTCTGGGTTGGTTTTGGTTCCATATATACCCAACTCAAACTTCTCTCATGTCCATAAGCAGGTTGGTGGGGTGCACATTCTTTTCATTTCCAACTGATACACAGGACAGTATCATGAATATTATATTGGTGAATCATATACGCCACCTTCTGTGAGCTTTATATTAACAACTAATAATCATCAACTTGTGTCTCACTCCACCTTCATTCATACACACAAATAGCTCTTTCATTACCATAAAACTTAATCCTAGTCCTGTTAGTGAATGAGATACATATACTTCAAGTTTTGTGATAAGATTCATATAACTATGATTAGAGTGTAGAATTCTAATGACAATATGTAGCCAAAGTATGTCTTTCTGTTGAGGTCAGTTTTCTCTATAACCATTAACCATGTCTATTCTAGGCCCAATGACATTCTTCTCTTTTACAGCTCACGGTGACAGAGAACACAGCACATTGTAACTACAGGACTTTCACTCGACTGTGAAAGATCTCTGTCAAACCTCACAGAGAATTTGAGGCAGCTGGCAGTTATCAGCTGAAGCAGGTAGTCAGTAGAAGTGTAGAAGATAAACAGATAATTGAAAACCAATCTGGAAACCTGGGAGAGATAATAAGCCTCTCTTCTAGAGGGGAGGCAACAACTCAGGTAGGTCACTGATGAAATCAACTCCCAGATCAGGCTGTGTCTAATACTACTGAAAATACAGTGGCAGTTCATGCCTATCATGACTGAAGTAGTAGTCAAGTTGATGGAAATGTAGTTTGGCGTATTCAGTTATACAAATCGGTATTGCACTAGAATGAAGAAGGATCATACTGCTGAAAGACAGGTGACCAAAATCCTAGGAGCACCATGGCCCTCTGCTAAATTACAGTTGCCAAAATAGAAAAGTAGTTCCACCCCCTTCTTACCCTCCATGCTGCTTTATCTGCCATGCAACCATTACATAGTATTCCTGCCATACTGACCGTAGTCCTCTGTGGGGCAGGTGATTACTTTTTCATGTGATTCCTATTTATATTAAAATAATAGAACTATTCTGTTTTCTCTGCCATGAGCACAGAGAATAGAGGGGAAAGCTCATGTCTACGAGTAAAAGAGTGTGTTGATCTTAGTCGTTCCATTTTAAAACAGTCTTAAAAACAATCTTTCTCTTCAAGTCACTCTTGTGATTCTCAAATTCCTGTCTGCAGAAAAGTGTGAAATCTTGCATGAACGTGCAAGGAAACTAGTACCATTTGGTAACTCTTCTTGCTGAGTTCTGAGATCTTGTAGAACTATATTGGTGGTAGGGAGAAAGCACAGGGAGATATTTTTGTGAGAGTGGGCACAGAGAAGAAGTCTTTGGCATATTGCCAAAAAGAAAGTAGCATTTTTTCACCAGAGAAGTGTTTGAATTGTTCTACTGACATGTGTCTTGATTTTGTTAAACAGCTCAGGTGGACCACAGGAAATAGCTGATGACAATGTAATATTAATTCTTGTGGAGGTGAACAGAACAACAAAAAACAAAAAACCAACCAACCAAACAAAGACTTCTGCTGCTCTTTGCTTTGAAAGATGCTTTTTAAAAATTTTTCTGCAAGACACATTTAAAAATCTGTCTACAAGAATTATAAATAATTCTGTGCATTTACACTGGAAGAGCATAAAGAAAAACACATGCATCAAATATTTCTAGAGTGTTAGTTGCTACAGTTACAGTGCTAGCTAAGAAAGCAACATATTAAATTCACAAAATCCATTAACAAAATTTATATGTGTTCATGTTTCTGATTGCAGAAATAATATGAGTCATTTGAGCAGTCTATGTAATTCTTAAAAAGTAACGGATGTACATGTTTTTATTTTTTATGTATTGTTTTAATATTTGTTTTGCTATGATATTGGACATTAATTACTTGTGTACTTCTGTAAATTCTGCTTCTAAGTAGTGATTGTTGAGGATATTTTTCATATCTCATTCTGTGACTGCTAAAACAAAAAAAGATCAGAGTTTTCAAGCTTAAAAATGCATCAAAAGTTTAAAATTACCATTTGCTATTTTGAGACCTAATTCATCTTTCCATTATAATCCTAGTGATAGACTTCAGGCCAGTCTAGATCAATTTTTTACATCAGTTTCTCAGTTTCGATGCAACTGTACAACTGTAAATTACCATTGTGTTATAAGACATGCCTAACTTCATTAGATTACAAAACTTCTTAGGTAGCAGGAGAATTTGCTTTCTGATGTACATATTTTTATTTGCTTTTAAAAGAAGATGAAATGAAATAGCAAAAAAAATTGCTTTTTAGATAAAATTTCAGAATTTGCCTAAATATTTATTATATTAGAGTCCAACATATCAAGAATTGTAATCTAAGAAGATGTTGGCAACATATTATTATAAACAGTCCAAATAATACCCAGGACAGTATATAAAGCCAGAACTAAGAAAGCATCACTCTCAGGGAATCATCCTTATAACTAGGATAGAAACTGATCTATTTTACTTTTTTCTCTCTCTTATGAATCCTTTGAATATTTCAGTCTTTTTCTGTGCTGGGATCCAGATTCAACAGGAAAAGTGGAGAATAAATAGTTCAGCTCAGGCTATGTAGCTCTCTGAGATTTAGGTACTACTATAGGAGGTCTGAACAGAGGAATGTCTTAGCGTTTCTTTCTGGTCAAGATCTCTAACTGTACATAAAAGGAGACATCCTTCATTATCTGGTTGTGCTCAAAAATTTATTCAGTGCTCTAAATCTCAGGAGATGAAGGTGTCTGTTCTATGTAGGTACATGAGTTGGATTAACTGTTCAGACAAACATCAGGCTTGACTGTTCCCTAAGCTATTTGCTTTACCATCAGGGCAAAGAAAAAGACTTCTCTCTAATGGAACTCCTCATGGAGGCACTTAAACCAATGCTTGTATGAGAGTAGAGCTGCCTAAGGAACTACATGTGACTCATCCTGCAGCAATAATAGTCTGCATAAGAGTAGATGGGTTTGCAGAAACATTAAATGACACCGTGTATACTCTCAGATAGGATCACATTCTGCACTCAAGGTAACATGAAAGCCCAACTCATCAGCTGGTTTACAGAATATAATGAACATCTTGAATACCATGAGCATATTGAAGTAAACTTCAGTACCTAATTTGTTATTCATTGTGTTGAAAGTACTGGACTGTATGATCAAAATCATACATGAAGAGCTTTCACTTCATGCCTTTATGTCTTCTTATTAAAATCATGGTTTACTTTGTAGCTCTCTTCTGGGATAGTCACATTTTCACAAAGTGGGTAAAACCTAAGAAATAAAAGTATGGTTGGAATACTAGTGTTCTGCATGCTTCAGAACTGTAAAAATCATCTGTATATCATGTATTTACTTTCTTTACTGATGAGGTCCAAAATGTAGTTTTGCAAGATAAAGGTATTATACAATATTTCAGCTGTAGTGAAATGTCTGTGTTTTGGGGGTGGTTCTAAAGTGAATTACGAGGAAGCAGAAGTCAACTTTTTGGGGAGGAAGGTCTCAGACTGCTAATCCAAACCCTATTTTCCCCAACAAAGCATGACAGCTTTGTGTTTGCACTTGTTCATATATGTCTTCTTACTTTTTGGTGACTTTCTTATTCTGTAACAATTAGGCCTGATGGAGCTTCTGCTGGTGCCCTGGGATCACGCTATTCTGTTGAGGATTTTTTTCCACAGACTCAGTAATGATAATTTCTTTTTTCACGTTTCCATTTTATTGCCAGTCATTGTCTCATTGTCAGTAATATCTTTGCATGAACAAGTCCGATACTGACTTGGTATTGACATATTCACTTCTTGTCAAATGGCTTGAATTCTGCTAAAATTTATTGTGGTCTAGGGTGAGACTTCAATGGAGATTAAAATGCCTTAGGCACCTATATGGAAGGGCCCAAGTGTTAGCTATATGTATAAACTCTTGTTCTGGACACCAGTCAGTGCAATCTGTGCACCCTATCAGTGCCTTGTCAGCTGACAAACTGCTTTGCATATGTTTCGGGGTGAGATGGGTTGTTCTCTAGCCTCCATCTGAATACAGAGAAAAAAATATGGCATCGTGTGAAATGTACTGTCAGTTTCTGTCTTGCAGTTCTCTACAGGATGAAATTCCCAGAAACTGGAAAAATGCTATACTATAATCATTAGGTTCCTGACAAAAATAGTGAAAAGAATTTTCTTGAGTTTTTCCCAAAGATAAATCAGGATTATGTAAAATTGTCATTTGCTGTGACTCATGCACATCATACAACTCTGTACTCTAAGCTGGTAACACATATTTGGCCAAGTAACAGCAATCTTGGATATCTTCATGTACCTTTTCCTGAAAATTACTATCACTGTAATGATATCAGTTCTTGGATCTCTTGGGCTTATTCAATATTTAAGATATTAACAAGATTATTTGAGTTGGTAACCTGTGATAATGGGAGACTGCATTTGTGGATGCAGAAGGTTATTCTGAATTTGGTGTCCAAGTGTCTTATTTACCTGTTCTATGTGAATAAAATACTTGCTGTAAACATAGTTTTTTGTTTCCTTTATAGTGATTCTATCTATTGGGGGAAAGGAAATCATCTATCCCTTATCCTAGAAATATTTATTTCTTATAGCACTGGGTTAATCTGAAGATCAGCAGCTAATATACCACAGAACAGGTTTGAATCCAACCACCAAATAAGATCAGAAAGCAATTGCAAAGGACACCATTAAAAGTATGGTCAAACTAAGGTTACACGAGGTGGCTACTGACTCAGCTACAGAGACAGAGCCTAGACAGCTGCAGAGCAGTGGCAGCTAGCCAGCGTGCCTGAACAGATGAAGATGAGGCCAAAAGGAGGAGGACTTAAGATATTAGCTGCTCTAATATAGAACCAACAAGCTATATAAGATCCTTACATACTCAGACAAGAATTACAACACCTAGTTGGAAACAAAGTCCTTGAAGTTTCTTGTGCAAGTTTTCAAATAGAATTTCTCATAGCCAAAGTATTTAAAAAATATTAACTTTTGAGACATTTTTAATTCTAAAAATTGTTTACATTAGATACATCATAAACAATCTTTGCCCTCAAGTACATCATATACTGAGTCATTAACAAGAGGCCATGACTTCACAGGCACATTTCAGTCTATGCAAAGATAATCCAGATTTTCCTTCTTTGGTTGGTAATTATGATATGTGAACCCACGTATACTGTTTCTAGTATCCCAACTAACCCACTCTTCATGATGGTATACAGTGTCTTGTGTACTTTAATTGTTCTTTGAACAAACAAAAAGTACTTATAAAAGCCCCATTTCTCTCTGAAAGTGCATTTTTCAGGTATAATGTATAAGCTGTGTGCATCTCCACTGGATGAAAAGATTATTTTTCCTATTCTATTTATAAAGCATATTAATGATTTATGGAATAGTTGCAGACTCTGACGCAAAGGCCTGACAATTGAAAGCCAAGCAATTAAACGGCTTAAAAAGGAAGAAAAGAGGTGCAGTACAAAAAGATCTATGCAGAAAACCTGTAGGTGTTTGCAGCCCTCCCCATTATTCTCTATAGGAAGTACTCAGGATTAGCTATGGATATAGATGATGTCAGAACCAGTCCTCTAAACCTTTTCAATTTTCCAACATGAAAATCTGTTGTAGAACTGTGGTACTAGATATGAAACAAACTCTTCCTCTTTTTTATGTCAATAGATTTCTTTTCATTAAATTTTAGCCCATCTGTGCTATATACTGTGTATATTTTTTCTTATTAAGCAAAAAAATCTTTCCTGATAAGGGCATCTTTTCTGTGAAAGCACCTCTTAAAATAGACTAGCTTGATGCTCTGGATAGTGCTTTGACATTGAAAAAAACCAGAGAGATGCAAACAAATCCTAGCAAGTCTGGAAGTGATGCCTGCATACTTCAGAAATGGTTTGACTCATTAGTAGATTAATAGGCTGCACAGAGACCTGGATCTTTGAAGGAAGTCAGTGAATTAAGGGCAGACTTACCCTGTAGCTCCCATTAGCCTGCATATGTGGATTAGCTAGATTACAGATATTTCTGTCCCATACAAATCAAGTGGAACAGTGGGTATAGGTTTTATATAAAATCGTCACAGCCATAAAATGGAATGTAGGAACATTTTACAATTACTGTAGTTAGAATGGTCAAAGCATTTAAATACAGCTTTGTCTTTTTATTCTCAAGAGCCTACCTATTCAAAAATCTGAGGTAGCTGAATATCACAGAGTTAGGTTTCCTAGTATGGTTAATTTTTTTCCTCAGTAATAATTCATAAAATCATTTAACAACTTTTGTGCAAAAATATGGTTTGATGTATCTGATAGAAGCTATACCTGCTCTTGGCAGAGGGCAAAGGAATGGGTAAGATGACCTGTTATATATGTCTGCAAGCCACTGTTCCTACCCTTTATCTTTCCAACAGTGATAAGTTCTGGTGACAGACAAAGTGAAATACAGCAGTTCCTTCCAAAGGGCTTATAGTGTTCTCTGTGTGCAGGAGGGTCAGCAAGATTCCAAACACTCCACATTAAAGAGTTCAATTGCAGGGAGGAGCCTTTGCCAGTCATGTTTTGAATTTCAGTTACTTTACATGAGATATATAACACCAAAAGAAACTTTTGCAATGTGGTAGCTACACCAGACCTAAGCATCTAGGCTACCCTTATTCTCAGTGGTTAGAAGTAGGCATCTGAAGGACACAATTTCATCAAAATGTTCTAAAAGGGGTCAGTGAAATTGTGTTCTGGAACCATTTCTTGCTATTGGCTACAAAGACAAGCCAAGGTGTTAGTACAAGTATAAACAGCTGCAGTTTAAAAATCTAAAGGTAAATGAAATTACTTAATTCCTAACTTTTCCCTTGTTTGCATATTGCCATCCTTTTTCATGGAAAAAGTGGACTCAAAACACATTTATCATACTGCCTTTAGCTGATTTTTGACTGCTCAATAGTTCATTATATCCTCTGTGTATCCCATATACTATGACTTATCACAGAATCTTTGCTGATACTTCTGCCCTAGGTAAGCATAATATTACTTAAGCTGAAGAAGCCATTGAATTGTGCATGCGAACAGACTTTCTCCTACAATCTCCAACACGGAACAGTGACAAGGATGGAGAAGATGTGGATTGTGATGTCTTCACTGATTTTATTTTAGATGTAGTAAGAGACATTTCAACCTGGTTCTGCCTGCCATCAACATATGCACCTAAACATAAGGACTTAAACTCTGTTGGTCAGTTGTTCACTATACTTAAACCACAGGTTGCTAAAGTACTCCATTTGAAAGTTGCTAATGTGCTCCATTTCAAAAGTATACTTTGAAAAGATCCTGTAATATGGATGTATTATCCAATAGAAGTGAAAAAATGTGACAATTTTGCTGAACTCGTATTTTGTATAAGTTACAATGAATCTTCCTCCAGACGGCTTGAACACCCATAAAGCTCTGCAGAAACAGGAGTTATTTACTGACAAGTCCAAAGCTATGGCTAATGAGCCCAGGCCATCAATGCAGCTACCATAGACCTACCAGTAGCTGGCAGCTGATCTATGACATTCATGGAGAAGATATTTTTCTCCTGTGTGAAATATCTCTTTGCCAAGTGTGTTCAAACTTGGCACAGATAGAAATACTCAATGCTAAGCTATTTTCTGCTATGATAGGAAATACTGTGTTTGGTAAGTTCTTTCTTTCCCATATGAGAGCTATATTATCTGTTTCTTACAGCCCTCATCAAATACTTAGCTAACCGTAGTTACAAAAATACAGTAAAAGAAGTAATATTCATTCAAAACCCTAGCTACTACTATCTTGTAGTGATCATTTAGAATTATCAAATAAAATAAGGCATGACACTCAAAGGGGAGCAGATTGGATGTATATATAAATAATTCAATTTCCATTCATCTCTCAGTGAGAGTTTTTGAAGGAGAGAAAGTTGGAAAAATTATAGTCATGTTTTTAGTGAGCACAATGAGACTGTTGTTTATAAACCAATGCTCATGTTTTGTTATCCATATACGACTATACAGTTAATTTTTCATCTTAAAGAACTGTGTTTCTTTAGTGCTTTTGTCATACATTTCTGTCACTATCCTGAACAAAAAGAGTGAAGATAGAGTGGTTTAAAAAGGTTTAAAAAAGCCCCAAACAAACAACTCCCCATCCAAAAAGAACCCAAACCAAAACAGAAGTTCCAATGGGGAAAAGGTCTCTTTATATTGGCGCAATATTTGGGGTAATTTATTGGTGGTTTTCTGAGTATTTCATTTTGATGATATTATGGTAATTATTTTTATTGTGAATGAACTCAGAAGTGCTCAGATTAGCAAATGAGTGCTTTTCTAAATCTTAATAATGAAAGATCAATACATGATTCTAAAATTACTTGTGACAGATCTCAGCAATAATAGAGGAATATAGCTTTCAATTCACTTTTGTACTTCAGTGCATTTATGTCAATGAGACTATGTTCAATTCTTCTGTGCAAAGAATTGATTTTTCAATTTACCTTCTAAATTAAGTGATAGAAATAATTTCTAGGGTGTTTTTAGTTTGAGATCAAAGTATTTTGTGGCCCTGTATAAACAATTTTCTTGGAAGACAGATAAGAAAAGAAGAAAATGGACCAGATCCAGACAAAGCTGCTGGAGAAAGCCATGTATTTCTTTCTGTTAGAGTTTTACAGCACCTACGCTGTGCATCTTAAGTTTAGTTTTCAGTTCAGCTTAGGGAAATTAAATCCTAAATTTCTTCAATCCTGAATTCAAGCTGTGAATGGTTTTGAAAAGAGGACAATTCTAACAAAAGAAAGAGAAGTCTTATCTTCTCTCTTCTCTGGGTTACTGTCAGAATATCCATAGCCTTGGGAGAAGGTATTAATTTAACCTATGAAATAAACTGTTTCAGATTCCTGCCCTCAATCAGAAAGAGAACAAATCAGAAAGAGTTCAGACAAGCACCATAACAGGTGAGATGTGGAGCATGTGAAGACTGGGAAATTTATGGATAGGATATCCATATGTTGGGGAAACTTCATTTTACGTAAGACATCATCACTGACTCTGAGAGAGCAATAGCTTGATAGTACGGAGTTCAGAAAACTGTTCAAGAACCATTGGATTTAAAAACACTAATAAAAAACAGCATAGTAAAAGGTAAACATGCTCTCCCATTTCTGCTTTGTACTCTGATGTTAGGATGCTAACCTAGGATCTGGGAGAAAGCTGGGAATTTAATCACAGACTGTCAAATTTTGTATGGATGTCAGGAGCACTAGATTAAACTGGCATAATGATAGTTCTGTGTTTGTGTATATGTAATGAAATTTTCAAAATTCTGGTAATGAGCACATTTGGCTTGTGCTCACATAATTTGGAAGTGACTGAAAATGCATTTTTGGAGAAATTCATGCTTTGTCAAATCATCATCAACATCACCATCATCTCTGCTCATCTCTCCTCATCTGACATCAGCCTTAGCTGCAGTCCTTCAATGAATGAAGATGGAGCAGAATTAAAAGACACCATTAGGAACACTTAGCACAATAAGGGTGTTTGATATGAGGCTACATTTCATTTTGCATCATACTAAGTGATTACAGTTACAGGAAAGGGGAGAAGAACTATCTAGTTTGTCAAATGCACCAAGTGTTGGACTTACAAAATAAAATTGTTTGACTTAAGGAATTGAAAAGCATAAATGAAGATTAAGGAAAAAAAATTAAGTTGCTGATGCATTGCAAATTTGGAACATGACTGTATGAACAAGGACAATTTGCAAACACAGCAGTCACTCCCTCTATTCCTCTGCTTATGGCATTTAGTGACTTCCTTGTCTATTTTCGACAGCTTTTGTTTTCGTTGTCATGTATCTCAGTGTATTTTATAGACTGAACAAAGGTACGTCAATCAGAATTACAAACCATCCTATTTCATGCCATGTTAGAACCTCCTTAAAGTCTTCTTTCTCTCTGTCCCACCTTCACATACACACATACAGAAAATTAAGAATATGTGAGTTTGCATAACCTGATAGTTTAAAAGTTTGTAGATAGAATTAAATCCAAATTAGTAAGAGGAAATTAGGTCATTTTAACTTATAATGTTATATAAGGTGATTTTTGAAAGAAGAAACATGAATGATGTAAATTATATCTGTTTAAAATAATTCTTGATTATGCAGTTTCAGAGTTTCTAGGGAAGTCATTGAAGTGTCTTGCTGAGAACCTAAAATTTTTTTGAGAAGTGTGCATGCACAGTGTTATATGAGGTTTGTTTTTTATAGATCTCAGAAACAGGATTTCAAAGGCAATCAAATTCAACCTTCTTCTATTGCTGACTATGTTGTTACAATACTTTTTAAGATTTGGACATCTATATTAAAATAAACTTTTCTTCACAGAAAATGTTTTCCTCCTGAAGTTCCTCACTTCAAATTGATGCATTTTAGAGCTTCTCTTATCTGATGTCATGATCTTTTTCTACTGAAATGGGGTACAGTATCAACCACATCCAAGGTTTCTGTTCACTTTCCTTATTTGGATATATATCTTTACCTTATTTTGACAATTTTTTTAAATTAAGCTCTGACTTATCTTTTTGAAGATACCTCTTCTTTTTTTTTAAAGCTTCAAGTTGCTCCCTGTAATTATGACGTATTAGCTATGTATTAACTAAAGAAAGGATAAAACTTACTCACTCAAAGAATTCATGATGTAAATTTATGAGTGAAATATTTCCTTCACTGCACTATGTCATTAAATATGTCCACTAAGAAGTATAAGCATTTTCATTAATTTATGGAGTTTACCCTGGCTCTTGATTGAGACCATTCAAAACAGTAGGCAACCATTGATTTAACAATAGTTTTAGGGGTGAGTCATTCACAGAGCTATTTTTGAAGCACACCATAAAAATTGTGCCAAAAAACAAGTAGTTATTCCCTCCAAAGTTGATAATCTTTTACTGCATCTGCAGAGGCCAGGCAAATTCTCTCCCAGCACTTTTTTTTCCCTTCAAGTTCATACACACACACTGAGAATCTAATTAACTCCTTCTGCACTGAGTTCCCTATTCCCCGCAGCTATTCTAATTCAGATAGTAGCTTTTATATTATTTTGATGGAACGATGTCTTTTGCTAAGACCTTTAAAAGTGATTTTCCATGATGCACTTAGATTAAATTTTTGGTTCTCTTCTTTCCATACCTGAAACAGATCAAAATATCTATATCTGAGAAGGCATATACTCTTCTGCTACTTCTGAACCTAGAGATGTCTGTATGTAGTTAGCCCCTCTTTTTCTGTCTAAAGCTTTGTAGGAACATATATGATTGCAGAATTATTTTGTCTTGAAAAGCATTGCCTGCTCTACATCTGAACTCCATTATGATTTAGAAACCGAAAGACTGTTTCCCAAGGGATCCAATCTAGTAACTTCTTGTTGGATGGTCTCAGGAACTGTCAACAGAGTGTTCAATCTATGGCAAGCTACAACTGCTTCCTTCAGAAACCATGGCTTGGAAAAGAGATGAGATTAGTAGGGTGCATGCTGATGGAAGGCGATATACATGGGTTTAATCATCGCTCCCTAGATAATTTATGTACATTAACCTTAGCTTAGGATTGAAACAAAATAATAATGGTAACAACAACATTATTCACCCAATATAGAGCCCATCTGAAACTAATATTTCTAGCTGAGCGCTTTGAGTATCACTGTCAGCCCCAACCTAAGCAGTAGCCTTATTGTGAGGGAATTTGCTTGAGATATGAAAGCTGTGGATTTAAGCTTGTTCGAGTTGAAGGGAAAGAAGTAATTCTCTGCAAGTATTTATATAGCGAGCTACATTCTAAGGGTAGGTAGCATCAAATGTGCCTTAAAAAAGTTGAGCCCTGCTTGTTTACATGTTTATCCTGAGGAAAGGATTTAGCACGAGTCCAAAATTTTCAATACAGTCTCTTTAAAGTAGAAAAACAAAAAAAAAAAAAAACGCCCCAGACACACACAACCCCCCCCAAACCAAAAACAAACCAAGAAAAACAAACAAACAAACAAAAACCCCAAACAGAAAACAAACAAACAAACCAACCAAAAAAACCTGATTGGTCAAACCCTTCCTATAAACTCTTTATTTTCTTCCATGCTCAGAATGTGTGACCCATAAATTGCTAAACCTTGACAAGTTCAATGACTTTCTGTATCACCAGTAGCATTGACCTGCACCTTCACCCTGCAACAACTGGTTACACCTGCACTTGTAAACAGGGAGCACACTTCAGCTGTAAGGCCAACTGACACAGACTGGCCACAGCCACATAATATTCTTGGCCTTGGGACTGTGCCTGGGAAGTATGCTTTGATCCAGAGATACAGTAATGTCTTGTAATTTTCTTTATTTTTCAGTTAATGTGTCTGAAATAATGAAAGCATGTTGCAGCCCAGAATGTTGTTTTCAGATCATGTTACTGAGGGCATTTGTTATAGGTTCTGGGTTGTCATAGACAGGGCTTATGGGTGTATTCAAGGTGCAAGACTTACTTTCCAGCTGGAGGTGGTAATAGGTTAGTAAGCGATAGCAGGGTAGAGAAAGCCCTGGTTGGGGGAATGGCTCTTGGTTCTTGCAATGCCATGCATTTTCCAGGAGGGTGTTAGATGGTATAGGTGAAAACCATGCCAGAGAGTATGTTAATTATTAAGCAGTGTGAATAGTTGAGTTCAGGGTTTGAGCTTGCTCTCTAGTCCTATTTTACTTAGCACCATAGACACAGACAGATGAGATAAGATTTTACTGCTATGGGAATTTTCGCCTAATCCAAAAAAATGTTTGAACATGAGTAGGCAAGGAGACAAGCAGATAACATCAGGCATCAGGCTGGTTTCAATAACAAGGATTGGACAAAGGTAGCACAAAATGCTTGGTTTTCCCCTTCACAGCTGAAGTAGACTCTGCTTTTACCCTCTGCTACACATACATGTTTAGTGGATTTTGTTAGAAGGGAAATGATGCAGGGACACCAGAGCAGAAATGGAAAGTAAAAGAGGAAAACAGATCACAGAGGAACTATGAACGTGTTATAAAGAAAGAACTATGAATGCGTCATAAAACCATAACTATGGAAAAGGGTAAAGAGGAGTCTGAAACAGAACTTTCGTAACTACAACAGATTGCAATGACACATTCATCCTAGTCCCACAATAGATCTTTGGAAGGACTATTGACTTCGCTGCTATGGTATCACATTTTATTCAGTTGTGTTTTAAATAGAAGATCTGAGTAATAGATTAGTCTGGAGATATGTCAGTAAAACAGAAAGACATCTTGATTTTTAAAAAGGAAATTATACATCTTTGGCCAACCCTAGTATCCAAATCTATTAGTCTTAAAAATTATTAAAGTATTTTTAAGTATTAGTATTATTACTATTATTAAACCTTTGAAACATCTTAAAACAGTATGTCCATAAAGTATAATAAAATAAGAACTACGCAGAGCCATCCAAAATATAAACAGGAAATATGGAAGTTTACTTGCTTCTTTATGAATTTTTATACTAACACTTTATTCTAAGTGATGATTTTGTTTCAAATTATTCTTATTCTTAACATTACTATAATTTGTGTATCTTTGGTTGAAAATTGTTGTAGTGAATTCATTAACAGCAGCCAAAATGACAAGAGACATTGCAGCTGGCAAACTTATGAAACAAATAATGTGATAAAAAAGAAAAATAAAATAATTCCATTGTGTTAATTGCAGTTAATTATAATTATATTACAATTCAGTCGTAATAGCGTTATTAAAATGCGGAACACTGTTGTTGCTTCTTGAAAAAAATCTCTTTTCATATAATTTTCCTCACAACACTCTATGCTGTTGGGTTTGTTTGTTATTTGTGTAAAGGAATGTTAAATCACTTTTAAAAACATTATAGGTGATCATCAGTTGCATGCTTATACTATTTATTTCAATAAGACAAATTTATTGCTGAGACTACACCCTCAACAATGTGCTTTGACTACAGTAGAAATGTGGCTGATCTGGCAGATCATTCTCCACGCAGTGCTTTTACCTTTCAGTTACAGTATGATTTTTGAGAGTTAGCGTGAGAGGTCTTCACAGAATAATGGCCTGAAGTGAAGAAGTGCTGATCAAGCCTTTTGTCATTGAAAAGTAAATCATCACCCCGCTGTTTTTAGAATCTCATGGACATGGCTTTATGGTGTGACTCTGAGAAATATTATTTCTAATTTTTCAAGGGGATAAGCAAATCCGTGCGAAGTGTTTGCTGAGAAATCAAGAACCCAAGGTGGGAAGGAGGGATATGATATAATTTTAACACATTTTATTCCTTTAACTATCCCCACATTATAACTCTCTCTCACTTCTGGCAGGAGCACTAGCCTGTTATTTTTTAGTGCATTGACAGTCATATAAAGATGCAGAGGTACTGAATCAACTACATTATTTACTAGCAAAGATGACAGTGGGAAAAGCTTGAATGACAGCTCTATGCTCTGCAGTACCATGTAAAGATGAAGATCTGAGAACAAATCTATCATAAAGGCTTTGTACCATAAGGACACCTCTTTCAAAATATAGCCCAAAGGACTGCAATCATGTACTGATGAACATGAGAAATCCAGGTCTCCTTCGTGAGTAGGAGAAAAGATGCTGTACTTCTTCTTCCGACAGAAAATTACAATCACAAATTCCAATAAACTTGACTTAAGTATAGTGTATAAAAACTATATTAAAAGGCTTTTTAAATGTCTTGCTTAAGAAGATCTCTGAAATTCACAGATTAGATGATGATGATCAACCTTAGCCACCCAGTCAAGTAATTTATTGAAAACATGGATTTTGTGTTACTGTTTTGTGAGTTGCTGCCTTGGACACCCTAAATCCTGAGGAAACATAATTTATATTAATTTCCTCACCCTTGTGCAATTCTCCACTTCATTCAACAGAGACAAATATTGTCCCTACATGACTATAAAACCACCTTTTTACTCTTATATAAGAGAAATTCATCTTGAAACTAAACAACTTGCTGCCAAAGTTGTTTTTTTTTCTTTTTTGCTGGGCTTATATGATATTTTCAGATAGCAAGAGAGACTAGTTTGTACTGTAATCAGGCATTCTCCACAGGTGGTATTATTTGCCACTAAAACTGGGAAAACCTTCCTCTGTCCTTGCCTCTTTAAAGAGAGGGAGGATGTTCAGATGAAATATACAGATATCATTGTGAGTGAAGCAAGAAGGCCAAAATGCACTCACAAGGACTGGAAGGGATTGCTGTAAGACTTGGTGCTGACATTTGCTTTGCATTAATCCTCTTCATCAAGAAAAGAATACTCTTCATACAACAGATATATTCAAGGTGTTGGTGAGACTGTGAATCCTTTGTCAGAAGTGTGAATCATTTTTTAGAGGAGAGAGAAAAAGCAGATTAATAAAAAGGAAAGAAACAGCTGAACATCAGAGAGATGTTTCTCCGAGTGACAGAGAGCCACATTCAAACTCTGACTCTGTCTGATTCAAAGCAGAAATTAAAACACTGGTCTCATTCTGCATTTAAGAGCAGAAATCCCATTTTTGAGAAACAAACACCAACGAGGAGAAATTGTTATTATGTGTAATTGTGTAAACAAGACTAGTTATGCTGTAGCTGAATTTGTCCCAGAGTTTTATTTAAGTAACTGCCACATTTCCAAGTAACTGGGAATGAATATCTGACTGCATATATTTTCCTTGATGATGTGTCTCATTCCAAATTTGCAAGTAATTTTGGTAAAATTACTGGCATGTTTCCTATTTCCAGTATTCATTTGATAGCTAATATATCACCTGAACTATCTATGACACATCACAGGGTTTTTTATAGTTTATGGTCATACCCAAGGAGAACATTTGAATGGATGACTCTCAGTGAAAAAAGTAGTGGCCCTCTTCAGAAGTTTAAGGGAAAGCTTTTATTTGTTTCCTGGGGAAGAAAACTACATTCTACAAATAGTCTTTATCTTTCTCCTCGTGGATAATAAATTTACCATTATCTTCTACAATATCATTATTTTTTAATTTAAATTTGATTTTAATCTTAAAGAAAAAAATGTACAGGATCAGTAACAAATGAACCCACATTTATTAAATAAATTTTGAAAACTACAGAAACAGTAACTTATAAAAAAAAGGGCCTAGTTTTTCTGATTAACAAGTTATCTATTGCCAACATAGTATAAATTATATATTATAAAAGTGGTGAATGCAAAGCTTCATACTAAGCAGTGTATTTTATAACACAGCTTTTTGTTAGTAAATTTTTAACATGGTAATGGAGCTTGTAATAATATAAATTATTATACCAGATGGATAATTAAAGAAATAAAAATACCAAGGAATGGGTCCTTGGCTAGACAAATCTATGAACTAATTGTTTCCATAGTGCTGAATTTGAATAAACAATTCCATAACCGTTTTTTCTTTCTGTTTGTGAATTATTTCCACACTCTAAAGACTCAGAGGAACATCATGTAAAAAGAAAAAAACTCAGACAAAATGCCTCTGAAGCTTATTCTGAGCACCTGCAGAATGACGTAGGTGAATGAATGTTAAAAACTACAGATCAAATTCGACACATAGAAAGAAAACCAGTCTAAGCTATAGATACAGTGACATGCATCAGTGTAACTGTTTCCACTTGAAAACAGATCTTGGGAGGCTTTTTCGTTTATTCTCTGACAATCTGAGTATGAGTAGAGCAAAGCAGAAAATATAAATATCCCAATTTGTAAAAGTGGTATTTGCAAATAGTAAATATTTCATTAATTTCTGAAAATGCAAACACATAAAATCCTCCAAACCTGTAAAAAACATGGAGAAGGGTGAGGTAAAAAATTGCTTAGGACAAGTGAAAAATAAAATGAAGATTTTTGGTGTTTCAAATTCCAATTCTTTCCCTTCAGATATATAATTTCCAGACCATGTTCTTGTCACATTTCTTTATCAAAAGGACAAATAATTTAGTCTATTCCATGACCCTCTTTAGGATTTTATGTGGTTTTTCCTAAATTAGGTGTTTGAAAACTAGACACTAAAGTCTTAGCTATCCAGCTGTCTAATCAACAGAGGAAAATAGACACTACAGAAAAGTTTCAGCTTACCTTAACATAGTAATCCAAAATTGTTCCAATGAATTACCCTTGAGGCGTCTAGTTCCCTCGATCAATTCCAAAGATGATTTGAAATGTCCAACTCACCTACAGTAATGTGCTACTGGTATTTCTGCCATATATATTTCTGCCTCCTCTTTGGTCTTCAACCCTCTTCTTTACAGAGAGGGTTATCAGGCATTGGAATGGCCTACCCAGAGAGGTGGTGGATTCACCATCCCTGGAGGTTTTTAAAAAGAGATTAGACGTGGCCCTTAGTGCCATGATATAGTAATTGGAGTTGGATCAGGGGTTGGACTTGATGATCTTGGAGGTCTCTTCCAACCCTACCTATTCTATGATTCTATGATTCTATGAACACTATCATGAAGAAATCCTCTATAATGATGAAAGGTTGATCAGTTTTCACTTTACTTCTCAGATGGCTAACTTGTCACGAACTGTTGGGCATTATTTTGTTATACAAACCTTTAACAGACAAGAAATCAACTAGTTAGCAGTTTATACATTAAAAGCCTGGAAAAAAAAATCAGTAGGGGCTGCAAAACTACTTCTAGAACTCATTTCCACTAACAATGGAGAGAAGAGAGTTTGCATACTCTATCCACTGGTTACCTCTCTACAATGTATGCTTATTTCAAAGCTTCTATTGTTTCAAGAGATGTTAATAATTACAGGGGAAAAGACATTTTCAGTAGAATATGATGATTTGCATGGAATGGGAAGACATAAAGTAGTAATAATGTCTAACAGGCCATGAGTTAATGAAATAGTTTTTCAGTTTCCTTGCAAACTGGTATTTTTTCCTACTTTTGAAAAAATCAGAGTGCTTAAATCTGAGTGAAAAGATTTAGTCGTGAAGATTGTAGCCAAAATATCACGCTGCATATGTGCATAGGATTTTGCTACATGATCTTATCAGTTTAAGGTTGTAGTATTTCCAGTTTTATTGTTACCTGAGAAATCAATTTATAGCACAGTTTGTTCATGACACTAACGAATTTTAAGCACATTAGATTTGTCCTTCAGACACTGCATAACCTTTCTGTCATTTTCTGGGATGATTTAATAAAATTGTTGTTGACTTTCCCATGCTTAATAGTCTGGAACATTTTTGTATTAACAGTTCGCATATTCCTAATAAAAACACTGTGAGGTATTTCACTGTCAGCTGATTGCCAGTCATAAATATCAACTCACAACATTTGGGCAGAAAAGCATTTTTTTTCCATGTGCCCTTATCACAAGTTTTTACTTCTTGCCATTTTTAGCTTAGCATTGAAGTTGATGTGAAATGAGGCACATAAATATGTGTTTTATTGTGTATTTGTGCACAAGGCAGTAAGGTTGCAAACATGAACATTCTACTTTTAGTAGGACAATTCCAACTTAAAAATGCAGGAGTTTGATCAGGTCCAGTGAAAGCACAGTCTTATGTTAAAGAAGGAAAACAAAAGTATCAGGACTAAGTGCAGATTTTGATATAGAACACTATTCAGTAGATTTAATAAACATTATCCTTTTTATTCCTAAGCAGTGAATGTAAAACTCATTTTATATTAAGCCATTATTATTATCTATATCTAGCGTGAACTGTGGAAATTGTATAGTGATTTGTAGTTTATAGAAGTTATGTTTGTGTTAGAATTAGAAATATGAAATATATAGTAATTTCACTCTTGGGACTGTCCCTCTTTTTATGGCAATTATTATATTTGTGTTTTATTAAGTTGGAAATATTATTTTTCATCTTAACAAATGTCTTGTATTTTTACTTTCTAATGAGACAAAATGCCTTCCACAGCAAATTTGGTTGTGAATTTTGTCAGTAGAAGCCTGCCATATTTAATATTGTTCTTTTCTGGACTTCTCTGTGTTGTGGTTATTACAACATGTAACTTTTTTTGTGATATTATTGGTACAGTGTCAGTATATACATAATGACATCAACACTGGAGTGTTGATGCTTCTCTCTTCCAAGAAGTTAGTGAACTGTCATGAACTCAGAACTAAATTTCTGGGCAGTGAGTGGAACAGAAGAGGATCCTTCTGAGAGAATAGTTTATTAAGTTCAAATCAATCAAAAATAATTCAAAATAGCATACATTCCAGATATTCCCCCATGAAAATATTTTCCTTTTTTGAAATGAGACCTGTTCATGCTCCATTTACTAATATTTTTGAAACTTTACTTTTTTTTTTAAACTTACTATTCTCTCAAATTAATACCCGAAACATGAGACAGTTGTACAATCAGAAAGGCATGCCTCCGTGTCTCCTGTTGCAATTAATTTTTCTACATACGTATATATATAAATAGTAACTGAAGAAGAGATTTCAGCCTTACTAGGATCCTCTACAGAAGCAAATTGTAGTTTCAGAACAGTTAGTTTCCTTACCTCAACCAAGAATATTTACTCATTTATATGAAGAGAGGCATCTGCACAGAGATATTAATGTTTAAGACAATCACCTGGCATGTACAAAGGGCAGATGAGTTCGGAAAACTCTCCACATATTTGAAAAATTACAGACTTCTGTATGATCCCTTTTGGACTGATTAGCCACAATCTCCCAATGTTCAATACTTTGTCAAGAAGCTATAAGATGGCTGGGTGTAGCCAAAGTTGTGCTGAAAGCATGGAAAATAACCTATGTATCTTACAAATGTACAGTGTTACTGAATACTGAAAAATGTGGTAAATGGTTGAGGAGGAGGTAATAGTTTAGTTCTGGTTAGAAGAACAAATTAACTGAGAGTTGGCACATAACTTATTAAGAAAGATTTATAGGATTTCATTAGATTGGACCTACCAAGGTCAATCAAGACTCTCTGTTGTACTGAACATAAAATGAAGGCTGCTTAAACCTTTTCTTTTCACACCCATGTGATCTATGCATGGTCACCATTCTTCAACTTCCTATCATGCAAATTAGCCTAACATCCCTATGAAAAAAAAACAAACCAAACCAAACCAGTTTTCTCCCTGGTCCTATGTTGAACAGACAATTATCCTTAAAAATTGAATTACAATAATTTCTTTCTATCCTTGACAGGTTGCTCCATCTCTACAAAATAATGAAATACATGTGCTTCACAAGCATGGCCATGAACAAAGACTGGTTCATAGGTGTTCTTTTCTGCTTCCAAGGAAAAGGACGGCCAAGGGAGGAGCATAATTTGCGTTGCCTCTCTTCAGAAGGGAGTTTACAGCTCTAGTCTTGAGTTAAACAGCCATTTATGCTGAAGAACCTGTAGCCCAGAGCTCTGCCTGTCATCTTTGTGTATGTGTGTATCTGTGTATGTGTGTGTGCCTGTGTGTCCATGTGTGCCAAAGGAATAGTGCCTGCTTTGAAAACCTTTGCTTCTATCACATATTTCCTAAATTGGACACACAGGTAGTCTCAATAAAAAATAGCAGCTGTCTTAGAAATATTCAGTTGCCTAGATTTTGATAAACTACAATATCAATTCAAGAATTTTTCTTCTGTTCTTCTGAAAAACTATTATTAACAAAATTGAAAGTGAAAAATGAGTCTGTGAGGTCAGACTTGCTCCTAAATATCATTTGCTCTTAGCATGCTGGTATTACTGTTATGGCTATTATGACATTTCTATGAATAAAAAATTTATATTATAAGAAGATCTGTTTTCATTCCAAGTGATGCTTTTTCATTTTTCCCTAAAAATATTCAATCAGAATGTTATTTATAATAATTACCTGTTTTTTATGTTGCAATGGCTTTTTTCTGTTAGACACTCTCATACACACATTCATACATTCATAAGCATACACATATATGTTCATATATATTTTTATATAGTTTTGAATCTGCAAATTTGAATTAGGAAATCGTATAACTGCTGCAAACAGAGCAAGCAATTCTTGTTGCATCAAAAAAGACTCAATATACAAACTATGATGTTTATAATAACATTTCTTTACAGTGAAAAGATTAACATTTCAAATATTGTGTTACAGTGACAAGATCCCCTTTGCAATGTGCCTTTATATACTTCTTCAGTCTTTCAGAACCTCACTTTTCTGTGAAAATGCTGTCAAAGGAACGAATGCCGTATGTTTTCAAGTAACCCTACAATCACTATGTCTAGAGCTCAGAAGCAGATCAGAGAACTATAGAAGTAAAAGAGAAAGGAAATCCTTATGTTCTTTCCACATATGAGACTCTAGGAAGCATATGATTGAATGAATAGAGAATTGAGCTGCAGTGATTAGATGTCAATGAGTTACTGCAGATGAGCAGAATTTCTGTAAACCAACAAGACAGTCAATCAGTTTAAGCTTGCAGGTATAATCTCAGAGGACAAACTGTACATCATAGAAGATTTAACCTTCTGCCATCATGAAAGTAATTCACTGTTTTATGGTTCTAGATGGTGAATGCCATCATCATCATCATCATGGCCAGGCTTCACGAACGAAGATTTGGGAAAGGTCTCTACCCATGCTACAAGCGCACTGGTGGCTAAAAAGGCCAATACGAGACAGGCACAGCAGAAAGACTCCTTATGTGGTAAATTCTGCAGGGCGCAATTCTTTTTGCGTTGTCTTTTCTCCTTGAGAGTGATCCTGCGTGTGTTCTCAAAGGCATCAGCAGTGTTATAGATAGTGTGTCTCCAGACCTCCCGATTGGAGGCCAGAGTAGACCAGTTATGATGATCAATATGGCCAAGGCTGAGATGTTGTTTCAGCAAGTCCTTGTATCTTCTCTTTGGGGGTCCTCTCATGTGGCAGCCGGTGGCAAGTTCACCATAAAGCAAGATCTTAGGGAGGCGGTGGTCCTTCATCCTTGAGACGTACCCTGCCCATCGCAGCTGTGTTCTCAGCCACATGACCTCAATACTTGTGACTGCTGCTTGTTCTAGAACAGATGTATTGGTCACATAATCTGACCAGTGGATGTTTAGGATTGTACGAAGGCAGCGTTGATGGAAGCGTTCTAGGAGTCGCAGGTGGTGGCAGTAGATGACCCATGATTCAGATCTATATAAGAGAGTAGACAGCACTATGACTCTGTAAACACTGATCTTTGTACTGTTCTTCTAGTGTTTATTTTGCCAAACTCTTTTATGAAGCTTTCCAAAGGCACTATATGCCTTTGCTAACCTGTTGTCTATCTCTCTGTCAATCTTACCATCCGAGGAGATGAGGCTACCTAGGTAATTAAACTGCTGGACTAATTTGAGCTCTGATTCACCAATGGTGATATGGGGATGATGGAAGACTTCCTGAGGTGCAGGTTGATGGAGAACTTCTGTCTTCTTTAAACTGACTTCCAGCCCAAAGAGCTCAGCACCATCTGCAAAGCAGGATGTTAAACGCTGCAGAGCTGCTTCTGTGTGGGCAACAAGGGCGGCATCATCAGCATAGAGCAGCTCCCGGACAAGATGGTTTAAGGTCTTGGTGTGGGCCTTCAGTCGCCTTAGGTTGAAAAGGCTTCCATCAGTACGGTATCGAATGTAGATACCATCCTGATCCTTGAGGTCTGCCGTGGTCCTTTGGAGCATCATGCTGAAAAAGACTGTGAATAGGGCGAATGCCATAATCTTATGAAGATTACATGGAATTGCAAAATTTCACAGCAACTGGGTTTGGTTTTCTTTCTCTCTTTTTTTCTTTCTTTCTTTCTTTCTTTTTTTCTTTCTTTCTTTTTCATTCATTCTTTCTTTCTTTCTTTCTTTCTTTCTTTCTTTCTTTTCTTCCCCCATGGGAAAACATTTTATTTTACAGGACAAATGTTACGTGCTTACGTAGTCTAATAAATAGTTTACAGGGAAAATATTAAATCAGTTTTACATTGAGATGGTCTGGGATAATTAGAAGACATTTACACTTTAGCATCCTCTTTCTTTGGTGAGTGGAAGGGACCTCATTAGATACCATGTCTGAAGAAAAACTACGGAGATGTCATTAGATACAGTATCTGGACAAAAACAGGTGGGTTTATAGATGGTATCTAGGGGAATGTCACAGTAGGGAAAGATTTGAGGAATGCAATGATCAAGACAATCAGGATTAGTAGGATAGCAGGCTGCATAGAGCAATGCATTTTCCTGGGGTTTTTCTCAGTTGAAGAACTCCCTCAAGAAACTCAAAGTATGGCTATAAGTCATTTATGAATCAACATTTACAATCAATACCCTTACCTGAGGCAAGGGAGCAAACCAGAAAACAAGACTGTCCAAAATGTGTGCATCATAGTAATTGAAGGAGGTGACCAATGGTTTTGTTTGAACCCTATACTTTGAACTGGAAGATTCCTTGATCCTGGCTAGTAGAACTTGGTTTAATAACAATGAAATATTGATGGCATGTCTGCCATTATAATCCAACATGATAAAAATAGGGGAAATATTGTTAAAGTTTATGACTTGATGGTTTCCAATTAACAGTTGATTATTTTGTTTTAAAAAAAAATCTACGGAATAAAAAAGCTAAGCTTGCAAGCTTTTGAAATGCATTTAAAAGCGTTACATCATGTTGCAGGATGCTCCGGGCTACCCTTACATAGAGAGAAAAGTGTGACTAATTGTCCAGAGAGAGAGTGAAAATTATTACAGTGGTTGGTTTGTGTGAGCAGTTTCCATCATTCTCCAACTATGTCTTGGTCCAAGTTGAATTTCAGCAATATGAAGTTTGGATTAAGTTTCATCCCAAGGTGTTGGAAACTAAACCCTTGTTTACTTGGTAGTACAGTTGTCATTAGAGAGACTGAAACCATCCTCATGGAGTGATGAACCATTCAGGAATGTTATGCATCCCAGATGGAAAGGTGGGATTGACCAACCAGAGGCTTCCTCTTAATATCCCTTCTTAGGGGATTTGTAGTTGTTTGATAGTCTTGTGGAATTTAGCTCTGCAAATACCAGGTGATGCATCTGTAGACATATAATGCAACTTCCATTATACGAAGAGGTGCATCAGTAAAAGGAAGGACTATGAGAATGTCAATCAGTCATCAAGTCAACAAAATTATACTGTGTAGGGGGTGGGGAGTGCCGCAAACTAATAGGAGAAATCAGAGATCTTTTCTGTGGAGGTAGAGAGTACTAAAGACACTACTACTGATGTATTTTCTTGAGTACTAAGTTGATACCTTAGATGATCAAGACAGCTGAGCTGCATAAATGTGTAAATTACTAGAATGAGTGGAGAATAAGTGTCAATAGTAACAGCAGATATTGCAAGAGCAAAAGAATACCTGTGAAAGAATATTTTTGTGTTTATAAATATATAAAAAGAATAAAAGCTAAAAAAAGGAGGTATTAAGTATTAATCTTAAAAAGTAGTGTTGTTGTAAGAACAAATTATTATAAATTTACCATGAATATATTTAGGCTGGAAAATTAGAAGCTGTTTTTATAAAGAAGAAAGAAACTTCATTAGACTGGTAAGTTGACTGTAGTTAGAAGTTTATTTGTATTCTTTGTATCTTTCACTAGTTTTCAGTGATGCTTCCAACAAATGCCCCATCTATAAGCAGACTTTTGATATTTATTGCAAAGATTAGGTTTTGAAAAAGAAAAAAGGAAATATGATGATATTGTCCCTTTGATGGGTCATGAAGTGTTTCCTACTAAAGCATGTGCACATTGTCAAACAGTAGACCTACCGCGATAATTTTAGAATATTTAGTCCGTAACTACTTAATTCAGTAGCGATCATACTAGATCAACATAGTTCAAGAGACTGGGTTGACAAGATAGGAATGAAAGAGAGACTGGACAAAGGTTGCATGAGGATTTGAGTGGCAAGAGTAATAGAAGCTTTGAGGTTTTGTCAGGTCAGAACCTTTGACAGCATGAAACTTACTTATCCCTTCAGCATTGCACTACCTGCAGCTTGTTAATCACTTGCAGTTCCTGTAAATCAGTGTTTTTCATACATCTATATGAAAAAAAACCAGATAATGGATAAATAGAAACATTGTGAATAAAGTAAGGATATTTACCAAGCCTACTTTCATAGTTTTCCCTGGGTTCTTTGCTCAGTTTAATTATTAGAAGCACAATTCATCTGATATTTTAGGAGAAACTTAATATATTTGGCACTTTTTTTCCTGTTTTTACATCTAAATGTAATCAGACATCACTGATGACCTGTTTGCCACTGGAAACATATCGTAGAGCCTCCATAAAGATGCTTTCTCCCCTGAAGATACTTCGATAGATTTATATGCATGATGCAATGTCATGAAGGGATAGCCAAGTGCGTTGTGAAAAACCTAGTTTGGCTACTTAATTATCTTTTTTCTCAGACTATTGTACTTGCTGCTTGCACGTCAATGCACCTGCCATCGCAGTACAAGGTTTCACATGTTATATTCTGTTGTATTTTGACCAAAAAATTCAGGTGGAGGAATTGTAACACTGAGGTCCACAATTTAGGAAAATACTGTTCTACTAGGGTCTCAGGTAGTATTTTTTGACTATTTTTGGAGATTTTGACTTATGCAAAAAATGCACTTGTAATACCTTAAAAATTAAAAGCCAACCCCTGAAACACAGATAAAAGCTGACTCTGAGATAGATCTAGACAATGAGACTGTAAAATACTTCCAAGAGTTCTGTTTTGATATCTGTATCAAAGACCCCTTGACTTCAAGCAAAAAGAATATTCTACAACT